AGCCAGCGGAGAGAAGCGAGCGACAAGTAAGCCGGAGGAAGCCAGAGGTGAGGTGTGCAGCTGGCAGGCGAGAGAGAGCTAGAATGAGGGATTGTTGGAAGATGAGAAAGTGTCGGCACAGAAGAGCCCGCTGATTGGCTGGGTGACTCACGTGCCACATGACCTTGACAGCAGAGCGTGGTGATCCATCCGACATTGATTTCTCCTTAGTCCTCCCGAGACAGCAGGCAACCTGTTCTCAGTCTGGCTGCCTACACCCCTCAAGGTCGTTGCCCACACGAGCCAATCATAGCAAGGGCAGGCGAGGCTGAAGAGCCAATCAGGCGGCAACTGTCTGCCTCACCTTTGATTGGTCGTCCTGTCGCTGCATGCAGTTGACTGGTTGATTGGTTGTCCGTGTCAGTGTGAGTGCTCGTCATCGCGCCTATCTGGCCTGATAATGCCCCACCCTGTCGCAAAGCCAGTCCGCCATGCCCGTTTTGGCACCGGTCTCGGCTGCCACTCGTCAAGGGGACAAGTGAAGTCGACCCTTTGACCAATTGTCTGCTCAACACTTTTGCCATTTCTTCTTCTCTCCAGCTCCATTCGCTCGTCCTACATTCTCCGATCACACCTTCAATATCACACTTTCCTACTTGCTCATCTCAAGCCCCATTCCACTCTGCTGGGAGTGTTGCGCCAAGACGGTCGTTTGGTGCGCCATCCTCTTCGCCCCTCTTGCTCGTGCCTTCACGGTTCACGTAGTTCACTCGAGCACCGCCACAAAATCCCTGCTTTTCACACAATCTGCGCCAAGCACGCAAATTCCCACCCAAAATGTCGATTCTCGAGTTGGACGCCAGACTAACTTGACGACATGTGCATCGGCTAATTCTGCACGTTGCGTGTCTGTGGGCAGACACGTCTACTGTTACCCAACCGGCGCTTGTCTCCGACGCTTCGCTTGTTCTTCTCTCTTGTCTGTCTGCCCCCCCCCCTGTTGTGCTTCCACTTGTTCTGACTCGGTTCGCTGAAGACGTCTCTTCAACTCGAATTGTTTCCCAGTCGCCTCCTACTTGCCATTTCTCTTCCTCAACTTCCAAATGTTTCCTTGACCTTCGTTTTGATCTTCGTTTTGCGGATCTCCTCCCAGTTTGCTTGGCCAATAGGCGCATTGTTCGCCAATCCAACCTTCTTCAAATCTCCCATTCTTCAGCATTCTTTCGGTCAGGATGGCGATGATCTCTCTAATATGGTGTTTTCTTGCATTTTCGCCAGTCTTTCTGTCCAGGTGACAACAAAGGAAAAGAATTGTTAGAGGCACCTTCATTTCGTATGAAAGTGCATGAAGAAGAGATTCATTGGTCGATCTCACCAGATGAGGACGGATGA